TTTTGTTTATAATTTTTGCTGGTCAAAAATGGGAAAATAAATTTCAAATAATGTTTATCATTATGTAAGTTATTTTTTAAGGTAAGGAATTGTGAAATGCCCCATGTGTCCATCTGTATTTTTGTAGATTAGCAGAGAATAAACTGATGCACTAGTCTACTGCAACAAAGGGCTGCATGTAAGTCGTAAAGACAACAGGTGCAGTCGTATATTGAAAGTGAGAACTGCCTTAGAGGGAATGTCGATCATCTTTGTCCGCGCGTCATGTCGATCAACAGATTTGGGAAGAGATAGCTTTTTGCTAATTTGCCATATTTTTTTTACTCTCACAGACAAGAAAATACAGTTCAGCTATTGTAAATGTAATGTCTAAGCCCACATCCGTACTGAACGACTTGGACAGAGGAGATGAGTTAGAACCGTCAGAGTTGGGTACAGGGGCCACAACGCGGTGCCGTTGATGCTCATCTAACAAGTGCAAAACGTAATCGACTCTATTTTCGTCTTGAACGCTATCACATCGCCATCGTGTTCACAGCATGGCTAGTACAGCGAACAAGCGCCCACTTCTTGCCCTTAACCACAACGTCCTCCTCCCCATCGTGTGCCGCTGACTCCCAAGCTGTGTAAAGACGGGTCAACGAAAATACTCTCAGCAGGTAATGCACGTCCGTTTGGCATCCGGTCTTCCTTTTTTGCCAGAAGAATTGCACATTGACCGAATGTTCAGCAGAGCCAGACATATCGAAAGATGGAAGGAAGCGCTACTGTAGATCAAGATCGCTTCGACTGCTCAAAGACACATTCTAAACTTGCCCTTCGTCACTGGGAAAGCTTCGAGCAATCGGGAGAACGGGGAGAACTCGAAAAATCTATAACTCACCATCGTGCCGCTCTCGAACATCGTCCCGAAGGACATCCAGATCGTTCGGAATCGTTGTATAACCTTGCACTTTCTCTTTGGACGCGATACGAGCGATGGGGCCAATTGGAAGATCTAGAAGAAGCCATTGAGTTGGATCGAGCCGCCCTCGAGCTTCGACCCGAAGGCCATCCTCATCGCTCTCTCTCTCTCGGCAATCTTGCAGTCTCTCTAAGAACCAGATACAACCAGCAGGGGGCAACGAAGGACCTTGAGGAAGCCATTGAGTTGGACCGAGCCGCCCTCGACCTTCTACCCGAAGGCCATCCTCATCGCTCTATCTCTCTCGGCAATCTTGCACTCTCTGTTAAAACCCGATACGACCAGCAAGGAGCGACGAAGGACCTCGAGGAAGCCATTGAGTTGGAGCGAACCGCCCTTGAGCTTCGACCCGAAGGCCATCCTCATCGCTCTAGCTCTCTCGCCAACCTTGCAAGCTCTCTGACAACCCGATACGACCAGCAGGGATCAACGAAGGACCTCGAAGAAGCCATTGAGTTGGAGCGAGCCGCCCTCGAGCTTCGACCCGAAGGCCATCCTCATCGCTCTATCTCTCTCGGCAATCTTGCAAGCTCTCTAAAAACCCGATACAAGCTGCAAGGAGCAATGGACGACCTCGAAGAAGCCATTGAGTTGGAGCGAGCCGCCCTCGAGCTTCGACCCGAAGGCCATCCTCATCGCTCTATCTCTCTCGGCAATCTTGCAAACTCTCTGCAAACCCGATATGACCAGCAGGGAGCAATGAAGGACCTCGAAGAAGCCATTGAGTTGCACCGAGCCGCCCTTGACTTTCGACCCGAAGGCCATCCTGATTGCTCTATCTCTCTCGCCAATCTTGCAAGCTCTCTGAGAACCCGATACTACCAGCAGGGATCAACGAAGGACCTCGAAGAAGCCATTGAGTTGGAGCGAGCCGCCCTCGAGCTTCGACCCGAAGGCCATCCTCATCGCTCTATCTCTCTCGGCAATCTTGCACTCTCTGTTAAAACCCGATACAACCAGCAAGGAGCGACGAAGGACCTCGAGGAAGCCATTGAGTTGGAGCGAGCCGCCCTCGAGCTTCGACCCGAAGGCCATCCTCATCGCTCTATCTCTCTCGGCAATCTTGCAAACTCTCTGCAAACCCGATATGACCAGCAGGGAGCAATGAAGGACCTCGAAGAAGCCATTGAGTTGCACCGAGCCGCCCTCGAGCTTGGACCCGAAGGCCATCCTCATCGTTCCTCTTCACTATTGGGCCTTGCAAACTCCTTATATGCTCGGATCGAGAATCAATGGAACACAGAGGAGTTCGAGAAATGTATGCAGTTACTGCAACTTGCTGCTACTCATGAATTCTCAGGATTGTCGCACCGCCTTTTTACTGTACAACGATGGGCATCGCTTGCACGATTGCACAACCATGACTCGGCCTCTCAAGCTTACCGAACATTCATATCCATACTCCAACATGCTCTCACCATACATCCAACCCTTCGCGAACAGCACGACTTTCTTACCGGGGAAAATGTTTATGGCATGCTGACTTCTGATGCGGCGTCCTATGCGATAGAGAAAAATGAATTGGAACAAGCGGTGGAGATACTAGAGCGTGGAAGGAGCTTACTTTGGTCACAGCTGCGTGGTCTTAGGACTCCATTGGACCAGCTTGCTGAAACGAACGAAGAACTCGCCGTCAGTTTCAGAGATGTCAATCGCCGACTAGAGAACCTCGCAACATCACACGAAGCGTTAATGTCTGGCCCATCCGTGGATGGAGGCGAATTACCTAGGTTAGACAGTAAACGAGGCCAGAAATCGTTCGATGAACTGTTGAAATTAAAGAAGCGACTTTCGCATGAGCAAGAGGGAATTATAAACGAGATTCGACAAGTACCTGGATTCGAGAGCTTCCTGAAAGCTACGCCCTTCAGAACCCTTCAGCAGGCAGCGTTGGAGGGACCGATCATCATGGTGAACTGTAGCGAATACCGTTCCGACTCCCTTATTATTAACTGTCATGGTGTTTCATCCATAATCTGTGTTCCGTTGGACGAAGAATTCTACACAGACAGCATTGAGCTGTGCGACGAACTCGTGGATACGCGACAACGGCTCAAATTAAATTCGCTGGAATATGAGACGAAACTTTGTGAAGCGATGAAGATGCTATGGGATAGAGTTGTCTCCAAAGTCGTTGGCAAACTGACAGAAATTGGGATCGCGAAAGGATCTCGCATCTGGTGGTGTCCCACGTCAGTATTATCCGCACTCCCGTTCCACGCTGCAGGACCATTCAAGGATTCGGATGGAACTGCAAAATACTTGTTAGACAATTATATTTCATCGTATACTCCGACACTCGGCGCATTGCTTAGTGCGCGATCTAATACAGGCACGAGTGAACCAAAATTGCTTGTCGTTGGCGATACTGTTACACTGCGATCAACTCGACAGGAAATTCGAAACATTCGGACCTGCTTGGGCAGTAACAGACCGGGAACTACGATACTGACTGATCGCAGAGCGTCTCGTCGAACGGTGATGAAGATGCTCCGGAGAGTCACATGGATTCATTTCGCTTGTCATGGCCACCTTGACCCAAAACCTTTCGACTCTTCGTTCAAGCTCGCCGATCGCGGATTGACATTGCTTGATATTATCCAATCTAATGTCCCAAATGCCGAGTTCGCATTCCTGTCTGCGTGCCATACTGCCGAGCTGTCCCATTCAGGTGTGCACGACGAGGCACTTCATCTGTCGGCAGCTATGCAGTTCAGCGGGTTTCGAAGTGTGATCGGGACGATGTGGGAGCTATACGATGAGGATGGGCCTCTGTTTGCTCGTGTGGTTTATGAGTACATGAATGATTGTAATGAAGGCGAGTTGAGGTATAAGAGGGCGGCTGGAGGACTTCGGAAGGCGGCATTAGAGTTGAAAGGATGGGAAGGGATTCCGACTGAACGATGGGTTAATTTCGTGCATATAGGTGCTTGATCAATGTTGTTATATGCTCTACAATATGTATTACGAGTGACTCTATCTGTATATCATTTCTTTCAATACTTGACAGGGTTTCAAACATTCATACCAACGCTCATGTACACACACTCTATCCTCTTCCGTTCGACGGTCACTAGCCGGCTCCTTCTCACCCGAAGCATGAGACGTATCCGCGGCTGGGGCTGCATCATTATTCGGATTCGGTGCTTTCGGCGTCTTCAATGCTCTCGCTGATGTCAAGCTACTATATTACATGAGGCACACATGGAAGCGAGAGGGAGCAGCCCACTTACAGGATGTTCTGTCTCATCGTCGACATTAGCCAGAGTAGAGAGTCTATCATTATGACTGCGATGATGGAAATAATAATACAATGCTTGATGTGCGTTTCCAAAACCAACAGATGCAAATTCACTCCCTATCCTTTTTGTTCTCTTCTGCATGCTTGTACTTGTCAAATCCCGATGATGCTCGAACACCGTCCTCAGGTGCATCTGGATCAAGCTGTCCTCTCTCATTCCGTCGGGCCCTACTTAATACCGGGCAGAGTATATACATGTATACGTCAGACACGACATCAGATGGCACAAAATGGTGGAGGAAGGCCCGCTTACCGGAAGAATGTATACGAGAGCACAACATTACCAACGTCCTTACATGCCGGGTCATTCAGTACGTCTTGGCCGATGAAGGACGGCAAGAGCACGTTCACTTCCTTGCCCGCAAACAGCTTTTGTTCCTCAAAGCAGAAACACTCGAACTTGGTGAAGCAAGTTGCGATCTAAATACAGCATGGAAGACCATCATCAGCATGTAACTTCATGCAGCGGAAGCAAATTAGGATCAGATCTGAGGCACCAGGTAACTCAAGCTATATAGTCGCCAAAACGAGATTATTATTGCTCGCTCAGTTATCTACTCTAAGCACCATTCCAATATGAACTGCTCCTAAGAAATGAAAAAAAAATGAATGTACCCGGCCAGGCGAAACATTATACGTAGCAATCCCAATGACATCCTGGCTCGACATATTCCTAGCCTTGTAAAACGTAAGACTTGTCTCCACGGGTAACGCACTGACGTATTTATTTGCGGCGTAAAGGGCCACGGTAGTGCCTCGGTCGCATCCACTTTAAACCTCACCCGAATTCTTCGCGCTTCCTCGACAGGATAAGTTGCTCTGAAAAGAACTTGCTTCTACTGACAATTGGTGTACCTGAAAAACCGGTTGCAGTACAGAGGGTGCGGTAGAGTGGGACGGCAGCATAGGACATACTGGGTACGAAGATGAGCTTTTCTTTTCCTATGAATTCGAAGTTGTGAAACATCGGCACGTACAGCTACTGTTGAATTTTGAATACATCATCAGCGTCCTATTTCATTGCTTGTACATACCCTGCTGCATCCTAAAAGAACTCATCTGTGGACGAAGACCGTTCGGTTGCGTAATGCGCATGTCCTTCGTGTCAATTGAGAGTATTCAATTTCGCGGTGTGTCAACAGTGTCGATCATCCCGTGCGTTACCCCACCAGTATCAAGGCTGACAACAAATTTGTGTATTAGACTCTATTAGTTGGATATATTTTTGAAAAATCAACCAACGTACCAGTCCAACGCGACAATAATATGGCTGCCCGATGGAACCCAAGTCGAAAGCGTGCTGGAAAGTGAGAACTGCCTATATAGGCATGTCGATAACTTCTATCTTTGTCTGCGTGTCCTGTCGATCAACAGATTTGGGAAGAGACGGCTTTTTGCTAATCTGCAATAGAATGTAACGCATATCTGTACCAGACAACGTACACAATGAAGATGGCTTAATAACGACAAAGTTAGGCACAAAGGAGGGGCAAGTACTACAATGGAATTGCGAAACGTGTTCGAATCTATTTTTATCATGACATCTATCACACCGCCATCGTGTTCTCAGCATGGCCAGTGCAGCGAACAGGCGCCCACTTCTTGCCCTTAACCACAACGTCCTCCCATCGTGCGCTGTCGACTCCCCAGCCGTGTGAAGACAGGTCATTACAAAGGCTACGAGGTAATACATCTCCATTTAGTATATTGGCCTCTTACTATATGAACTACACTTTGACCGAAACTTTACCAGGACCAGAGAGTATCGAGATATGAAAGCAATTGCTGCTGCACTTCGAGCTTTTTTCGATCGTTCTAAGAGACACGATAAACTCGCCCGTCGTCATTGGGAAAGCTTCAAGCAATCGGGAGAACGGGGAGAACTCGAAAGGTCTATAAGTCACGATCATGCCGCTCTCGAACTTCGTCTCGATGGACACCCATGTCGCTCGGAATCGTTGCATAACCTCGCGCTTTCTCTTTGGACGCGATACGAACGGTGGGACCAATTGGAAGATCTAGAAGAATGCATCGTGTTGAACCGAGTCGCCCTCGAGCTTCGAACCGAAGGCCATCCTGATCGCTCTTTGTCTCTCGGCAATCTTGCAGTCTCTCTAAGGATCCGGTACAACCAGCAAGGAGTGACAAAGGACCTCGAAGAAGCCATTGAGTTGGAGCGAGCTGCCCTCGAGCTTCGACCGGAAGGCCATCCCGATCGCTCTCTCTCTCTCGGCAATCTTGCAAGCTCTCTGAGGACTCGATACAACCAGCAAGGAGTGACAAAGGACCTCGAAGAAGCCATTGAGTTGGAGCGAGCTGCCCTCGAGCTTCGACCGGAAGGCCATCCGAATCGCTCTGTCTCTCTCAGCAATCTCGCAATCTCTCTGACGACCCGATACGACCAGCAAGGAGTGACAAA